AATGGAGGAAGTCCCCATCGAGAAAGAGGCAAAGAATGGAACTTCAGAAAACCGTCGCCACTAGTGTTGAAACGAGGAAGGTCGTTGCCCCAAGGGCGGCGTCCCCGCTTGTTCCAGACGCTGGGGCCAATTTTATGGCGGATGCCATTATGGCGGGGAGGTCCCCTAGGGCCGAAGGGGTACATTAAGGCGGGGAGCCTGTACGGACTGCTGAAGGTGGTGCGTCGTTGGCGGTCGGATGAGATGGAGCGGTGCTCACAGAGGACGATGGTTCAGGCTCGGACATCGATCCTGAAGAGGTGCGGGCCTTTTTGGAGAGAAACACTCGTGTGGAAGTGAGGACGGAGGGTCCTAATCGACACGTAATCATTCACATGGGTTACGACCTTTTGGCTAATTCTGAACAGGCGGTGTCGTCCTTCGCCCCCTTGTGCGCTGCTTCTGAGAACGCAATGCTTCAGACGATGAGTGATGCGGAGATGTCGCTGAGTATTTCTGGCATGGCTTTGCGCGTAAGTGTTTTGTACTGTTTAGGATTTGTCTCGCACGCGTAATCTGCTTATGCTGACTATCTTTCCTTTGCATGTCAGACTCTCATTATGGGGATTGAGCGCAACCGACGAGATGAACGGAGGACGGCCGTTTTTAAGAGGGTGACCTCTAAGTACAAAGAGTATTGTACCAAGTATCGAGCGATGGTTGACGTCTTTAACCAAGATAGCGAGTTTCAGCTATTTCGTGACGAGCTCAAACAGAGAGAGGAGGAGTTGGCGAGGAAAGTTACGGAGCTGAAGGAGCGGGATGATGAACTGATGAAGGCCATAGGTCGATGCAGCGAGCTTGAGGCTGCTCTTAAGGCCTAGGAGGATGAGCTTGAGGTGAGCAAGGGGGTGATGGCCGAGAACGCCGACCTTCAAGCGTTGGTGGCTTCCTTAACTACTGATCTTGGGCAGAGGGAAACGGAGGCTATCGATCTGAGGGGCGAGTTGAGTGTTAAGGTCGAGGAATTGACTCGTGCCGAAAAAGGCAGGGTGGCCGCCATATCCGAAGTAGCAGCCTTAGATGACGCCCTCCGTGTTTGTAGGTCTGAGAGGGATAATGAGGTGGATACGTCAGCGCTCAAGGTGGCGAGGTTAGAAGAGCGGATCCAGGATCTGGAGGCGGAGTTGTCCGGATTAAACGAACAAATTGTTGCTATGAAGTCTGAGGAAGTGCGACGGCAGTCGCAGCCGTCCACGTCTCATACTTCTGTCGATCCCATTGTGTCGCGGGAGTTGTATGAGATTTGGGTTCATGCTGAGGCTCAGCTTGATGTGTACAAGTCCCTGAAGGCCGACGGGAAAGTTTCCGAGGCTGAACTCGAGGGTGTCCGTGTTAAAGCACGTGCGACCCGTGAATCCTGTGGTTATGACCCCGGTACGCCTGGTAGGGACGATGTTGATGATGATGCAGACAGGCTCGCCTCCGAGTGTACGCCGAAGGAGATGACGCGGCATAGGGCCGTTATACTTATTTTTATTTTGCCCTACTATTTTTGTGAGGGCGTCTTCGAGTCCTTTGTAAAAAGTTTTGTAATATAACAATTGTAATGGAATGATTACCTTTTTGTTGTGTCTCTCCGGAGTCATTTTTTGTTTGCTATGCGGTGAAGTCCCTAGCTTTTCGTCCGCTTGTGTGTAGTGTATTGGCGTAGTCGATCGTATATCTTAAAGTAACTCGAGCGAGGTCGAGTGTAAAGTAATTCGAGCAATGTCGAATGTAAAGTAATTCGAGCGATGTCGAATGTTAAGTAATTCGAGCGGGGTCGAATGTTAAGTAATTCGAGTGAGGCCGAATGTTAAGTAATTCGAGCGAGGTCGAATGTTAAGTACTTCGAGCGAGGTCGAATGTTAAGTGATTCGAGCGACGCCGAATGTTAAAAATATTTTATTTCATTCATTGGAGAATATCTTGGTGGAGAGTACAAAATACTGCTTTATTTTATTCATTGGAGAATACTATACATGTTCGTTTCATACATATATTGGAGAAGTTTCCATGTATCTAGTCCCTTCATCGTTCGGCCTGGAGAAGTAGTCGACAGGCGGGGCGATGAACCATACTTGAACTTTGAGGCGTCCCCTTTGTCGCCTCGTTAAAAACCTCCCCGAGAAAACCCAATTGGGACAAAACCCGGGTGAGGGAAAAAGAGTACGACTTGAGGGACGTCCTTTTTCAGAAGTTGAAGTATTTCAGGTGGGCGACATTCCAATTGTTTTGTAGTAGTTTTCCTTCCATTGTTTCTAGTTGGAACGCTCTTTTGCTTGCTGCTTCCGTGATTTTGTATGGCCCGTCCCAATTGGTTCCTAGTTTGCCTTCTTTGGGTCTTTGCTTGCTTGTGTTTTGGCCTTGAGAACATAGTCTCCGACTTTGAGTGGTCGTATTTTGGATTTTTTGTTGTAGTACATTTCTGCTTGTTGTTTTTGGGCTACCATTTTCACGTAAGCCATGTCTCTTCGTTCTTCTGCCTCGTCGAGGTCTTATTTTCTGTTCTCGTCGTTGTTTTGTTCACTTTCATTGGAGTATCTCAGGCTAGGTTCCCCGACCTCGACAGGTATCATGGCGTCAGTCCCATAGACTAGTGAATATGGCGTTTCGCCTGTGCTCATTTTGGCATAGTACGATAGGCCCACAGTACCTCCGGTAGCAATTCTGGCCATAATCCTTTGGCGTCCTCGATCTTTTTCTTCAAGATGTTCAATATTGTTTTGTTGGAGGATTCGGCTTGATCGTTACTGGTGGGATGATATGACATGGAGAGTATTCGCTTGATGTGCCATTTTTCGAAGAACTCGACGGTCTTTTTTCAGTGAATTGGGGTCCGTTGTCGCAGCTGATTTCTTTGGGGATGCCAAAACGGCATATGATGTTTCTCCATACGAATGTGATAACTTCCTATTCGCGTATTTTGGCGAATGCACTTGCTTCCACCCACTTGGAAAAATAGTCAGTTAAAACTAAAAAGAATCGTGTGTTACCTCGTCCTGCTGGGAGGGGCCCAACAATATCCATTCCCCATTTGATAAATAGCCATGGTGATGTAACCGACTGGAGGAGCTCGCCCGCTTGGTGTATCATAGGAGCGTATTTCTGACATTGCTCGCACTTCTTGACATAGTCAGCAACTTCCTTCTTTATTGTGGGCCAGTAGTAACCTGCCCGAATGAGGCATCTGACGAGGGCTTGGTTGCTGGTACGGGCACCACAGTGGCCCTCGTGTACTTCTTCGAGGACGCGCCTCGTTTGGTTCGGCCCTAGACATTTCGCCAAGGGCCCCCAAATGTTCTTTTTTACAGGTCGTGGTTGATAATGTTGTACCTGTCCGCCTGCATTCGAAGCTTTTTGGCTTCCTTTTTGTCCGATTGGAGTACTCCCTCCTGCAAGTATGTTATGATGCGGTTGCGCCAGTCCCAAGTCAAATTTACAGAGTGTACCTCGAGTTGGTCTATTGACGAGTGGAGGAGGGTGACCATGTTTTCTTTAGTGATGTTTTTGGTGGCTGTTGCTAATTCGGCGAGGCCATCTTCCTCGATATTTTGTGCTCGAGGTATCTGGTCGAGTTAACATTCATCGAATTCTGGTAGTAGTTTATGAATTTCTGCCTGGTACTTTTGTAGCCTCTGTTCTTTGACTTGGAAAGTCCCTGTGACTTGGTTGACAACGAGTTAGATGCGCCATCGGTGTATAGGGCCCATAGATCGGGTTGCCCGAGAGAGGTACGAGAAGCCTCCTGCTCGTCCTCGGGCATTATTTTGGCATTGAAGTCGGCGATGAAGTCGGCGAGTACCTATGATTTTATCGCGGCTGATATGTTATATCGTGCTCGCTTAATTATATGGCCCACTTGGCCAGTCTTCCCGACAATTCGGGTTTATGTAGGATGCTCCGCAGGGGGAAGGTCGTTACCACCAATATGGGATGGCATTGAAAATAGGGTCTAAGCTTTCGTGAAGCTATAACCAATGCTAAGGCCAATTTCTCGAGGTGGGGGTACCTCGTTTCAGCGTCGACCAGGGTTTTGCTAATGTAATAAATTGGAGATTGCGTACGTTTGTTTTCGCGGACCAGCACTGCGCTTACCGCGACTTCTGAGACGGCCAAGTATATTAGGAGGCGTTCGCCAGGTTCTGCTTTGGCGAGCAGTGGGGGTGAAGACAAGTATACCTTTAGTTCCCTCAAGGCCTCGATGCATTCTGAATTCCACTGGAGCCCGTTATCTTTTTTCAGCACGTTGAAGAATTTGTGGCACCTGTCAGATGACCGTGAGAAGAACCTTGATAGGGCGGCTATACGGACAGTCAATTTTTGCACCTGTTTCTTGCTGGTTAACACTTCAGGCATTCGTTCAATGGCTTTGATTTGATCTAGGTTGACTTCGATGCCTCTTTGTGACACCAAGAAACCGAGGAATTTGCCCGATGTTACGCCGAAGGCACATTTTTCGGGGTTCAATTTCATGCCGTACTGCCTTAATATACTGAAGCCTTCTTTCAAGTGGTCGATGTGGTCTTCTTTCCTTTTTGATTTGACCAACATTTCGTTGATGTAAACTTCCATTGTTTTGCCGAGTTGATCCTTGAACATCTTGGTGACCAACCTCTGATACGTTGCCCCTGCATTCTTCAACTCGAATGGCATGACTCTGTAACAGTACGTCCCCTGATGGGTGATGAAAGTAGTTTTTTCTTGGTCCTCCTCCTCCATGAGGATTTGGTTGTAACCTGAGTAGGCGTCCAAGAAGCTTAACAATTGGTGTCCCGCGGTTGCGTCGATGAGCTGGTCGACGTGAGGCAATGGGAAGGAGTCCTTTGGGCAGGCCTTGTTTAGGTCTGTGAAATCCACGCACATCCACGCACATCCACCATTTCCCGTTTTTCTTTTTTACCATGACCACATTGACGACCCATTGGGGGTATTTTGATTCCCGGATGGAACCGCTAGCGAGTAGCTGATCCACTTCATCACTGACGGCCTCGTTCATTGCGACGTTGAATTTTCTTCTTATTTGCCGCACTGGTGGGTAGAGCGGGTCGACGTTCGACTTGCGTGTGGCAATGTCTTTCGGGATACCTGGCATATCTGCATGGGAGAAGGCGAAAAAATCGGTATTGTCAGTTAAAAGCTTATGAAATTTACCTGGTTTTGAAAGTTTATGCCCCATGTAAGCCTTTTTGTTGCTGTCGCTGCTGTCCAATTGGACGGGATCGAGGTCTTCTACCGTCGACTCAGCGGCTTCCACGATGTCGGGGTCCCTGATGACGTTTGTTTGTGCGTCGAGTCTGGTCCCCGACTTTGGTAATTGCTATGCTTCTGAGTCTGTTCCCTTTAGCTGTTGAGTGTACGTGCAATCCTGGGCGATACGATAGCATTCTTGGGTGGTGCGTTGTTCGCCTCGGATCTTGGATATCCCCCATGGAGTAGGGAACTTGATCACTTGATACAACTTGATGGGATGGACCTCATGGCGTGTATCTAGGGCCGCCCTATGATGGCATTGTAAGCCGTGTCTTGGTTCATGACATGGAACGTTGTTTCTAAGGTGACGCCCCCGGCCAGAACGGGTAGCATTATCTCCCCAGAGGTTCGCTCAACTGCATTGTTGAAACCTATTAGTGTTATGCAACGTGGTACTATCTTTTCTTCGAGTCTCATTTGTGTGAGAACTCGAGGGTGGATAATACACGCGCCGCTTCCGTCGTCTACCATTATTCTTTTCACATCAATATCTGAAATACGTAAAGTAATAACAAGGGCACCGAAATGAGGGAAAGCCAAACCATCGGTATCTGACTTGCCGAAGATGATACTGTCTCCGAGGTCGTTGTACCGTTCGTGGGTGATCGACCGCTTCAATTTGTGTGTGGTGGTGAACTTCACATGGTTGATCGCTGCTTCATCACCTCCGCTGATGATCATTTGGATGGTCCGGGCAGGGGATGGTGGCTTTGGAGGGCCCTGGTGTTGTTCGCGTCTGCGGCCGAAGTTGGCTTGTCCATGGTCGCTCATCAGCTCCCTCAGGTGCCCTTGGTTCAGCATGTTTACTACCTCTTGCCGTAGAGCTATGCAGTCCTCGGTTTTATGACCCCGCTCCTGGTGAAATTGACAGAGGACGTTCGACTTTCGGGTACTCATGTCGGACTTCATCTTTTGTGGCCACATCACCTTTGTGCTAAGCTTCTCTAGTGCGTACACTATTTCTGAAGGGGAAACACAAAAACTGTGAGCAGATAAGAGTGGAGGCATACCTCTTTTGTTTCGCTGAGTCCCTGTATGTGGCCTGGGCGGCCCTTCCGCAAGTCGAGGAGACGGTGGGATGGTTGTTCTGACATAGGGTTGGTGTCTTTCTCGGTTGAGACGGGGGCCTGACTGATCTCTTCGACCGTCGTTGCGACGATCTTTTCTCGACTCCGTTTGAACTGATGTCAACCATTGGGTCGGACCGTTAAGGCCGTCCTCGTCGGCTCTCACCTTGGCACAATAGGGATTGTGGATTTCTTCCCAAGTGGTGGGAGGGTATTTTATGAGCCTGCTTAATAACTTTCTGGTTGCTCTCGACCCGTTCCTGTTCAACCCGTTCTGGAAAGATGCTACCGCCATCCCTTCTGATACATTAGGTAGGCTCATTCTCACCCTATTAAACCGGGCGAGGAAGTCCCTGAGTCCCTCGTCAGGCGATTGCCTAACGGCAAATATATCGTTTACCCTAGCCTCCGCTTTTTTAGCCCCGACGTGGGCGGTGACGAACTTGTTGGCCATTTCCTCGAACGTTGTTATTGACTGTGCCAACAATTGTGAATGCCAGGTTAAGGCTCCCCCCGTTAGGGTTCGCCGAACTTTTTCAGTAATAGTGATGGTACTTGCTCCTTCAAAAGGTCGTTGCCCTTCACCGCTGTGACGTAATGGATAATGTGATCTTCGGGGTCTGTAGTACCGTCGTATATCTTCAAGTACGGTGGCATTTTGAAGGTCTTGGGAATGGCATGTGGAGCCGCTTCCTCGCTGTACGGTTGTTCGACGAACCGGCCAACGTCTCGTTTTGGTAGCAACTTTGGCCGCCCGGTATCTTGTCGACCTTTTCTTGATGCTCCCTCATCTGGTCGCGGCGTGCCTTGTTTTCGTTTTGCATTTCTTCCATTTTCTTCAAAATGGCTGTCAGTGCGTCATTACCTGCATCAAAAGTGGTGTAAGTGTTACCTGTTTGGGGGGTGGACTGTTCTCCAGTGATCATTGTGATATCTCTTGCGCGGTGTTTCTATTCTCCCTTTGAACGAGTTTGTCGAGTATGTTGTTTAGAGTACTCGTCAGCCATTCTTCCAATAATTTTCTCACTGCTGTCGGTGCTTCCTCAACCTTGGATGTTGATGCTCCTCTCTAAGCGGTTACACTTTCATGAGGAGGAGGTGAGTCACTCCGTCTGAGCGTAGCGTCTGGTGTCACATTCTCGTTGTTTTCCCTGTCATCCTCGTTGATGGTGTTCAAATGTTAGTAGTGACACCTGCTATTGCTTTCTGTCTTGCCTCTCCTTTTCGTGCCATCATTAGTTTGTACAAACAAAGAAGAGATGACTGTCTTTTTTATGATCTAGAAAGAACTAAAATTTCAACTAAAACCTGCCCACAGATGGCGCCAAATTGTTTGAGCAAAAAAGTGCTAAACCTTTTAACTAGACCAATTAATGATGAATTAAAGGGCGAATCTTAGTTGAACTTAATAAATTCTAGACCGAATAAAATGGGATACTCGTGAGACGAGTAGTGCTCAAGAGCATTAAATGACGGATTTAATACTCTATGATTGACAATAAATATGATAGCATGAATATGTAATAAATGTAAATAATGGCAGTGAATGTAATAAGAAAAGATCTACCACCCAATTATTATATGATTGAGATGTTCCTTTTCTCTGTCAGCGACGTGGAAAAGTTAGAAGTCAAGATGGGTGTGGAATCTTTGGATCTATGGATAAAGATTGAACAACATGTGCTTCAATAATATTATCAACGAACAAGACAACTTTTGAATATTCTCTTTTGTCAGCCTTTACAATGTGTTCTTATCAGAGTCTAGAAGATCCCCCAATTGTTTTCTATCTCTTCCTATTTATAAGGGATATTCCCCAAAAATCCTAAAAAGCACAACATAAGGAATATCCAAAGGAATATTCTTTATGTCTACCTCTGAACCTATTCTACTGTTATTTTCTCTCTTCGGCTGCCCGCTTTTGGCACCAGCCTTTGTGAGAGCAACCTTCAATCGTTATATCATGGTCGACCCCGTCCTTTGTCTTACTTATCCGTTACCACCGAATCACCAAATTTGGACCTATACAAATACCGTACCGTATCGCCCGACGAACACCCCTACTTGGTAGAGAGCATTTCTTCCCGAATGGTATCTTACGCGGCACGAATTCGGATATAATCGGACTCCCATAAGGATAGTGGACACCGAACGAGAAAGTAAATAAAAATTTATACGCACGGTAAATGTCTGTCATACGCTGCGCTAAGGTAAATACTCGTATGCGTTTACCGCTTACAATAATTTCAACAATTTAATCTAGCATTTAACCGGAACCACAAAATAAAAAATTAATATAGTACAAATTTTAAAAAATAACCGAAACCAAACCATAGACACCAAGTCACATATCTAACATTTATATTGATTTGAATTTGATGTAATGGTATTCTCATAATCCGACCTTAGAAGTTAGAACTCGGACCCGAATCCAACAAATCCTTCAGTACTGACTTTATTTTTTATTTTCCAGTACTGACTTTCGGAACTCAAAAACGGACGCAGAATTCACTTACTTCACAGCTCAAACTCTCAATTTTCCTTTGTTTCAATCGTCTTCTGTCAACTGAAATCAGCCATGGGTTCTGGTAATACACAAAATCTCATCAAATTCAATATTTTTCCCGTTAATTTTCTGTATCATATATAAATTTGATCCGATATTTGTGAACATACATGCATGTCGCAGATGCGGATATGGAGGATTACGGATTTGAGTACTCGGACGAGGAGCAGGAAGAGCAAGATGTTGATATCGAGAATCAATACTACAATTCCAAAGGTATTTAACTTTAATTTTGAGAATTTTCTTTTCCAGTTTAAGGGTGTATTTGTTATGAAGAATGTTTTCCAATTTTGCCATGGTTGGCTTAATGTTTTGAAAAATATTTTCCTTATCAACTCAAACTCATTTTCTTTTTCCTTATCAAAAAGTAAAAGGGAAAACATTTTTCAAAACTCCTTCTCAACATTTCCTACCCTCACCAACAATCCCTCCCCCTCTCTCCAAAAAAGGTTTTTATTTTTAAATTTCAGTTTTTCTGTTACCATCCCACCCCACCCACCCCTACTCTCTGTCTATCCCCTACCCCCAGCCCCCCGGGGGACAAAAAAAATTTTTTAAACTTTTTTTTTGTAATTTCAAATTTCTGCT